GAGATTTGGAGAATTTAGGTATTTGGGGAATTTGGAGAATTTAGGGATTTAGGGAATTTCGGGATTTAGGGAATTAAAGGATTTGGGACTTCAGGAATTTGGAAATTGAGAAATTTAGGGATTTGGAAATTTGAGAAATGGGGAATTTAGGTATTTGAAAGTTTAGGGTTTTGGAAATTTGGGGATTTAGAAATTTAAGGATTTAGTAATATGTAAGTTTAGGAATTTAGGAATTTGGAAATTTGAGAATTTGTTTTCCAACAATACATTAAAATTCATAAAAAAACAACTGTAACAATCCCTTACAATTTTTATTACTAATTTTTTCCATCCACATATTAAAATAACTATAAAAACATACAAAAGTTACCAGATAATTATGTAACTATTAAAATGTTTCTATGAAAAAAAAAATTCTTTGCAGTCATCTAAATTAGCAAGTATAGTAAACAAATTATCACAACTTTACTATGTAATATAACAGAGATACGATACTTTTTCTTATCAAACAGGAAACATCAAGATTTTTCCTAAAACCATACGCTTCTAATTGCGACTAAGGGCCGGGTTATATTTTTCGCTAACGCGACTTTATACAATTTGAAATTGCCGCGTAATTACGATTCTAACAGGAATTAAACTGCAATATTAACGTTGTCCTGTCCGCTTGTATCAATTCCTCGGCGTAGTCGGCGAAACGTGTAGCAGAGAATTTCAGTGAGTTTATCGTCATCGAAGTTACGATAATGCGTTTCCTGGTCAGGTAGAGGCACACACACTGCTTTTGCGCTTCTTTAAATGACCGACGGTGCTAGTAAAATAACGAAAGGATGCTTAACTTTTTACGTTAATTTCGCGACCCTTTTCCTCGAGCAGATTAACACTTTGAGCGGCGTCCTAAAATCCTTTCATTTACAACGAAGGGACTCCAACTGTTCTGTTACGTTTTTAACGAGCTTTTGTAACGCGATACACGCTTCTAATGATATGATATACTAAATACATTTCGCTAATAAACAATAACCTTGATTATAAACAATTACAAAGTACTAAATAAAATTATTTGATATATTTATTTTATTATATTTGATTAGTTTATTCTTTGTATATATTTATTTTTAATGTATGCACAAAAATTAATTTATTAATTACTTTTTAAATTAAAGGTGACATCTAAGGACTTTTTAGGTATGAGTTTTGTTAGGTTATGTACATATGAAATTATTATGATGTTTTGTTATATATTTTATTATATATATTTATTCTAAAATATATAATAGAATATACAACAAAATATTATAAAATATTTACCTTAAGTATATAGTAAAATATATAATAAAATGTTATAGTAATCTCATATGTACATACATAATAAACATTCAATATTTGAAATCTCCTTGGTTATTGACTTTATATTTAAAGAATTGATAACCTAAAAATTCACACATGAGATATAATGCTAACCTAACACTTAAGTGATTTAATTATGTAAAACAGCAAACAGCAATGTATCATCACAATTCTTGAACATCCACACCAAATTATTCACAGAAACATTTCACAAAATATGTGTACACAATTAGAAAGCTCGTCGAAATCAGAACGTGGAGTACCTGTTGAAAAAACAGAATCAGCACGTTGAAGATGGCACCTAATTACGAGCAGACGAAAAAGTTGCAAAAGAGCCTGATGGAGTATTACCCGCGAACGTCGTGTTTCGCTTTTAATATTAGATCAACGATCCTTTACGATCATTATAACCAGCATGGTACCGTCCAGCTGGGGCAGGATCAACGATCAGCGACGAAGACCAGCTCATTCAGCAACAAATGTAGCGGTGCTTGCACTACCGCCGGTCATGTCTTGTTCAACACGCCAGCGAGATACTTTATTGCTGATAATTCGAGGCCGGTCCCGCGAGAGACGTGCTGAAGTACGCCATTTACATTCCTGTCGTGATCACAAATGCATTTTATACACCGGCTAATATTCTGCCCGATCGCGTGGGCTAGATAGACGCCGATATACCTGGTGTGTCGAAATTAACCTCAACGAGTTGATTAGCGAGGGTTAATCGGCGTACTGCGGTTTCCGTTCGCCGCCATATTGATCTAAAGCGGATCGGCGGTAGCGGATGGCGGCAAAATTCAAATTTACGTAAGGGTGGAGTAATATTTACGGTACTACTAGTGGATTTAAAATTGCATTTAAATTGCAGAAAGTACTGTTTATATTACTACTATTAATATTACTATTAATATTAAATATTAATGTGTAATATTGAATATTAATATTAATATTAATATTTATATTACTAAGTTATTAAATAGTATTAAGTTTCAGAAAATATCTTTGTTAATTTTCAAGCAGTAAAAATTAATATTAATATTAATATTACTAAGTTATTAGATATTATTAAGTTTCAAAAAAAATCTTTGCTAATTTTCAAGCAGTGAAAATTAATACTAATATTAATATTTATATTACTGAGTTATTAAATATTTTTAAATTTCAAAATATCTTTGTTAATTTTTAAGCAGTGCTCTTCAGATTACTACTGCTTAAATTCCCAGATTAATGATACTATTTTAATTATCACCCAATCGTCAAAAAATGTCAAAAATAAAAATTTTCAAGGTGCAATTTTTTCCAATATTGTTCCAAAAAATTTCCTAATGAATTTCCGTATTCCATCATTAATTTCTAAAAGAGTTTAATTTATCACCACCATTAACACGACACCACGTTATATTACCTCGAAAGCTACTATTCAGGTCATTTATTATTGATTTTTCATTTCACTTGAAAACTATCTACAACAAATTACCCAAGCCGAACATTATATCAACTAAAGGCCCGATCCGAGCCATAAACTTAATCGAAACAAAGAAATCGCATAAACAAGTAACTGTTCGTACGTAAAACGATCTAAGTCGGTTGTCAAGCAACTTTTCCAGCATCGTTTCGTAATTTCTCCGTACAAGCTACTTCCTTTGAAAAGCTCCCGTTCGCAAGCACATTTAATTTGTTCCATGGTCGTTTGCTTGGAATTATAGCGAGGCGGGATCAAAAGTTACTAAATTTATGAGTCGTTACTACAGTCCGCGGCATATATTAACTAGTCGCAGCGGGCAAACCTGAAAGCAACAGCCACCCATCGTGGCCGAGCAAGGTGTAACGCAAGAATCGATGTGCCATAATCGGGGCCGAGCTTTTGGATTTACCAGCTGCCGGTTACTTAATGAACGGAGCATCTTTTTAAATCGGTAGCGGATCTTTTCGTGCCGCTATCGGGTTACGGGCCGATCGTTAACTCGCGAACGAGGGTCGGGATTTTTTACACCTGTCATCGATTCTGAATCTCTACAGGGGGTAGCTCTTTAATAATAAAACAATCTTTCTTCGTTACACAGAGGATAATTTCCTAAATTCTCATATTTTAACAATTAGTCCTCTATATATGATAACCATATATGTATGTGAACAAAGTCACTGGAAGTTTAGTATAGCAGAACAAATTTTTTATTTCATCCTCACCCACTGAGAAACTAATATATGTTATAAAAAATCCTCTCAAAGTTTGAGCTCAAGAATAAAAATTTGAAAAGTCGCTGAAAGCAGTTTGAAGCAAACAAAATTGTTTTATAAAATGAAATTGTTTAACAATTTCTTCCATGTATTTATCAGTAGAAAAATGCCTAATGTCCCTAACATAAACCCTAATATAGTCCCAACAACATAGCGACCACTAAAAGTGCATATGCCCTCAGTACAGTTAAATAACCGCCAGTTATTCGCAGAACACGATCAGAAGTAGAATACCGATAAACATAATTACATCCATATGTTCCAGTGTCACAGATAATTCAAAGCTTATACATTTTAATTGATCGTAATTTTATTTGTCCGATAATTAAACGTTTTTCCGTTTATAAATTAACTGCATCATCGAGCCGCAAGTATTTCTTCTCGAAAGTGGGCGCAACCATACCGAGTAATCTCAGATCTATAATAATTAACACGTCAAGCGTTTTATTGCTTGAAACCACGGCGTTTCTCTGTTTACGAACACGACCAGAACGAGACCAGATAGAGTAGCTGGATTTTTCAGGCTATGTGGACTAGTTTCGATAACACCGGCCATTTAAAATTCAACGGGACATTGTTCCTGGAATAAATTGCCTTGTGCCTCGTGCAAACGCGATTCGATATTTCGATAGAGTGTATCCGCTTGTCAGACGAACAATGTAACGATCCTAATCATCTGGTTTTTTCGTCACACCGATCTGAACAATTCGGGTTTGAGTAAAATGTAATAGTTGCTAGTTAATTCAAAATTCGTTAGAATTCGTATAAAATTAATTTTAGAGATTGTAAATATGTATTTAGAGGTTATTGAGACGATGTATGTTCATATGAAGGTTTGATAATTTAGGAGTCTTTTGATTATTGGGTTTTGGTTGATTTTTTCGAAAACGCGTTTAAAATGCGCGCCAAAATATATCGAAAATGGCGGTACCTTTTGTTTAAAGTTTAATAGACTTCCAGACACTTTGCTTATATGAAAAATTATTAAAAAATTTACAATTTGTACGAAACAAATAAAGCTTAAAGAAATGTGTAACAAAGTTTTAAATAGAACAAGATTTATAATTTTTATAAATATAAAAGTCATAAGTTTTATGAAAGATTTTCACAACCTAGAATTTTAAAAAGAATATTGATTTTTGTTTCAAATATAAATATTTTACATAAAGAAATTTAAAAAAAAAGAGGCCAATTAATATAAATATTTTGCGATGAAAAAATGTTTTGATAAAAATGATGAAACTTTTGCTCGTACTTTAAAGTGTATTATGACCTGTAAAATATAAATGAGGCTTTTCACGATCTTGTTAGCGCGAACTTTGTAATTACAGTATTAAGGTGTTAATAACAAAGGCAAGGTTGCGTTATCGATAGTTAATTATTATACCTGATTAAATCGATTGATTACTCACCGGACCGGGTGTATCCGAAGTCGTTAAGGACGAGTTAATTATTGCCCCGGCAAGATCAGGCACCGTTTCACTTTTTATCGACGAGGAGCACTTGCTTTTAAATTATTGACGATAACGACCCGTGGCGGTTTACTTTCATCGGATCGTTCGAATTTCCAGTTTCGTCGTTTGTCCATCGATCGTTTATCACGCGGCACAAATCGCTGATCATTTTGCTCGAGTTTAAACTCCTATGCAAACAAATTCGTCAACGAAATGTACCAAAATCACTTGTATCACTTACTAAAAAACTTTCTCATATATTACAAGCTCAAATGATTATTTAACACAACCTTCAATTAGTTACGACCCAATCGATAAACACCAAGATAGAACTTAAAGCGCGTCAAGTAAAAAAGAATCTAGAAAGTTAATATATCGATTAGATAATTTACTGACACCGACATAAATAAATTTCGTGCCGACAGAGGAAAATTACGTAAACGATGGCAATATCGTAAAAGCGATAGCGATTTATGATTCAGCCGATAATCGATGCACTAGCGATCGGAATTACGATCCCTAACAACCTGGCTTTCTCCGAAACAACGTAGTAAAAACAATATAGACTTTCGAAACATACTCGGAAATCACCTGTTCGTCAACCGGTCACGGAAGTGTCACCCGAAACAGTCACTCGAAGCAGCTACGATCAAACGTGTACACATTCTACGCGGATTCCGAAAGATCCATCGACCGTCGAGATTTCTGTCACTTCCGTTCGTCATCGGTGAGCGAGCGTTCTCTACGTGGACCTTCATCGAGGCTCGTCATCCTCGAAGCAACCTGGCGACTCCTTCGGTGAATCCTTTGAAACTCGTCCTGTTCGCCGTTCACCGATCCGCTCGAACCATATTTGGCGCGTGAATTCTCCGGATTTTTCGCGGTTTTTCCACGGACTCGGGTGCCGTGGGTTGTCCCGAAGGAACAGCCTCGTGGCGAATGGTCAGGGAACGCTGCGAAACCTGCGACCTGGACGACGTGTTACTGCGGAATGGTCGCAGAGTGCAGGCAGAATCCACGAGACCGTGGTACGTTTCGTTCTCTGGCGGCAGCAGCCTTGTCCCTCCTGCACGCCACGGGATCGGGCTCTCCTGCTCGGTCTACCGAACGGGGGAACCCCCTCGACTAGTGATGGCCTCAAGGCGCCTCGAATCGCTTTGGAACGCGGCGAAAACTGACCATCCAGGGGAAACTTGCCTCATACGCCTATGAACCCTTTCGGTACCGACAAAATTTAATCCAGTTTCAAGAAAAATTTGGGGATGAACATGTGGCAGAGTTGGAACTATGCGAAAATATTTAATAAAATTTAGAAGTCGTTTAGTCAAGTTTCAAGAAAAATTTGAGGATGAACATTTGACAGAGTTGGAACGATACGAAAACAGTTAATCAAATTTAAAAATCATTTGGACAAGTTTGAAAGAAAATTTGAGGATGAACATCTGACAGAGTTGGAACTATACGAAAACAGTTAATCAAATTTAAAAATCATTTAGACAAGTTTTAAGGAAAATTTGAGGATGAACATCTGATAGAGTTAGAACTATGTGAAAACACCATTTAATCAAATTTAAAAATCATTTAGACAAGTTTGAAAGAAAATTTGAGGATGAACATCTGATAGAGTTAGAACTATGTGAAAACAGTTAATCAAATTTAAAAATCATTTAGACAAGTTTGAAAGAAAATTTGAGGATGAACATCTGATAGAGTTAGAACTATGTGAAAACACCATTTAATCAAATTTAGAAATTTAGTGAAGTTTCAAGGAAGATTTGAGGATGAACATCTTATGAGATGAAAGAACTAAGGCTTGAAACGAATGGATGGATTTTTTGCAAGATATATTGTTTTTGGTAAGATCTTCAGATTACAGAGGAACAGCCTTCGAAAGAAAGGAATACTGTTTTATTTAGTAATTAACCAAACTACATTGTGGACTTTGAAGGATGAGAAGTTGGGGGTATTTTGAGGATGTAGGAAAGAATCTATGAATTTGATAACTTTGAGATTTGCAAATGATAGAATTTGAAGACGATTGAAGGATTTCGAACTTGAGAGTTTAGAGATGTTGAAATCTAGAGATTTGAACGTCTGGAAGTTCAATATTTGGAGATCTTGAGATTTGGGGATCTTGGGATTTGGAGATGTGATTGGAGAATCTTGGGATTTGAAAATGTGATTTTGGAAATCTTGAGATTTGGACATGTTACTATTTAATAACTGCAAGATTTGGGGATCTACGAATGCTTCAAACTAAAATTATCAAGTCAGAAAATTTGATGATCCAGGGACTTGATAGCCTGGAAATTTAAGGACGAAGTTGCAACCTAAAATTTTGGGGTAATATTTGGAAACCTTGAGAGTTATAGACATATTCAGACTTCAAGACTTCAAGAATCTAGAAATACAATAATTGATGTATTTGGAAGTTACATAGTGTGAGAATCTAGGGACTTCAAATCCTAAGAACTTGAAAATCTAGGAATTTCAGAACATAGACACATGTGGACACTTGTATTCAACAAGTTAGAGTACATATATGAATCACAAGTTTTTAACTCGATTAAGTTACAAATACTCAGCACTGCTATTGTAACCATTTTCCTAAATACTCTTACATAGTGCATGCAGACTTGTATATAAACTTGTACAAAACTTGTGCACTTGATAAAATTATTTGTAAAAACCGAACCGATACAAATAGCCCTAATGAATCAAGTGATCCTGAAACACTCTATTTTTCCGCAAATTAGCGTGAAATCTATTTCTTCAGCACCATAGTCTTCGTGGGCTCACCGATTTATGTACTTAACGGTTGAGTTCATTTTATACACTTAACGGTGAAGTGTATAAAGCGTTATCGGTGGGCCCACGCAAACTACGGTAGCGAAGAAATCTCATATATCCAAATCATGAAAATACACAGGAAAAAATATAGGTTCAAAGAACTGGATCTTGTATTAGGAACCAAATTAGGCTCGACTGAACTGCAGTGGCTGTGCTGTCACATCTTGTGATATTTACCTTAGCGCCCTTCAGATAAATATAGCTCGATGTGAAATCTCGTTTTGATAGACTAAATGTATATTTAAGTACTGATATAAATAAGAAGCAATTCAATGTATCATTGCTAAGAAATTTGTGTTTGAATTTTCAGATGAACAGAGAAAAATGTGTTCTTTCTCTTGAAACAAGTATATGTGAAACTCTGTAATATTATCGTGTGATGTGGACCAGAATGTTTGTCAGATGTTGAAGAACACTATAATGATTGTGTAGTATGGACTCAACCATCAATTGAATGTTGAAGAACACTATAATGATTGTGTAGAGTGAACTCAAACATCTATTGAATATTTAAGAACACTATAATGATTGTGTAGTATGGACTCAAGCATCAATTGAATATTTAAGAACACTATAATGATTGTGTAGTATGGACTCAAACATCAATTGAATATTGAAGAACACTATAATGATTGTGTAGTATGGACTCAAACATCAATTGAATGTTGAAGAACGCTATAATGATTGTGTAGTATGGACTCAAACATCAATTGAATATTTAAGAACACTATAATGATTGTGTAGTATGGACTCAAACATCTATTGAATATTTAAGAACACTATAATAATTGTGTAGTATGGACTCAAACATCAATTGAATATTTAAGAACACTATAATGATTGTGTAGCGTGGTCTTAAACATCAATTGAATGTTGAAGAATACTATAATGATTGTGTAGTATGGACTCAAACATCAGTTAAATGTTGAAGAACACTATAATGATTGTGTAGTATGGACTTAAGCATCAATTGAATGTGAAGAACACTATAATAATTGTGTAGTATGGACTCAAACATCAATTGAATATTTAAGAACACTATAATGATTGTGTAGTGTGGTCTTAAACATCAATTGAATGTTGAAGAACACTATAATAATATTGTCTAATGTGCATGAGGACGTCAACAGTATATTGAAGAACTCTATAATTATCTAGTATAGACCAGAACATCACTTGAATATTAAAGAACACAATAATTGTGTAGCATGCTCAAAATATCAACTGTATGTTGAAGAACACTACAATAATATTGTCTAATGTGCATGAGGACATCAATTATAGGTTGATGAACATTATAATAATAGTCTAGTGTGAGCCGAAACATCACTGAAATATGAAAGAACACTACAATAATTGAGTACCGTCAAAACATCAACTGTAAGCTGTAGAACACTATAATGATTGACCTAACCTAACTACTGTGTGCAGTGAACCAGAACATCAATTGTACATTGAAGAACACTAGTGTAGTATACACCAGAACGTCAATTATACATTGAAGAAGATAAGTAAGTAAATACCAAAAATAAGTAAAGACTAAAACATCAATTGTATACTAAAGAACAATAAATAACAGTAGTACCAAAAAGTCAGTGGCCATATTTGATTATTTCTGATAGAATTATATTTGAGAGACACGATACGGCAAAACTTGAGCACCCATCACTACCCCTCGAGAAGCCGCCGGCTGGTTTCTCTCCCTTGCTTCCCTTTTCTTCTGTTTCTCTCCTTCCCCTCCAGCCACACTCTGGTCGGTTCATTGGTTCATCGGTGCACCGGTCCAGGCTCCGTATTCTTCTCTCTAATTATACCGTTACGTGCAATCGCTCGTGTCAATTAGCAGCTCTTTTTTTCCTGCCCGAATGCAACCCCTTCTTTCGCCGAGGACCCCGCAGGATTTCGATTCTCTCTCTTTCCTTCTCGCTCACTCCTCACGGCGATTTCGGCGGAGGGGCGGTTTTTTCCTATACTTTGCTTCAAGGTTTTCTTTTCGGGGAGAATTCGGACAATGATACGGAGCGGATGTAATGTAGAATAGAATCAAGGTAAAATGTCTTGAGGACGTTGAACAGACTGCGAAAAAAATATTTAATGTGTTTTGACTTAGCGTGACTTGGCGTGTTTTGGATTGGGTTGCTGGAATTTATTTTACGTGCTTTGTAATTTTTTAATTGTTGGTCGTTGACGGGAATGTCAAGAACTATTTCATATTTTTTGTGTTTTGTTGTACTTTATTCATTTTTGGACTTTTGAAGATAATTCTGAAGTGTTCAAGGTTAATATTATTTAATAATATTCTTTTATACATTAATAATAATATACTTAATAATTCTCGTACCTCAAAGTCGAATGAAATAAATTAAATTTAACAAAAAAAAATTAAATTTGTTAAATCTAATGAAAACAGTTAAATTAATTTTTAGAAAGTTATATTAAAAATAAGCTGTGCAAAAAGTATTTTTAAACTTCTCAAATATTTAAAAATATTGTAATAATGTTACAAGGTCATTAAGTAATCAGAATGAGGAAAATAATTCAATTTTTCTATAAAAGAGAGAGAAAGATTTTAATAAAGTACTTAAATGTTTCTGATAATATTTATGTAGCTATTGATGAAACACAATGGTTAAGTCTTCCTGTAGGAAAGAAACAAACATGAATACAATTATCGCCTTTAAAAGTAGTCTCCCTACAGAATGAAGCTGGGTCATTAGTAAGAAAGGCAAAACTCTTGCTCACATCGTTGAACACGATAAACCACTTGTTTTACATGTAAACACGTTCTACTCGAGTAACTGAGTTCATTCTCAGGCTGTTCCACCTATTGTTACCCAATACATTGTTTAATACATAATTTATAGTATGTACTGGAGAGTAAAATATTTTGGATTAAGGTTAGGTTAATTTTTGTTCAGTGTGAGGCTAAAAATAATAAAATATGTTTTGTAATTAATTATGTTTGATGTAATTGATAATCAATAATTTTATGATTGATGTAGTTAATAATTAATAATTTTTTGTTTGATGTAGTTAATAATTAAAATTTTGTGATTGATGTAATTAATAATTAATAACTCTATCATTGAAGTATTTAATAATTAATAACTATATGATTAATATAATTAATTGCGAAAATAATTATATGTCAATCAATCTTCATATCACTAATATCTACCACGAAAAATTTCACTGACAATGTAATAAATAATAAACATTTCAATACACTGACAGTAATTTTATAATTAAATATAACACCTAAATATATTATTAAATATATATCATAAAAAACACTAACTGACTTATACTTCTAAACAATTACAAATTAATTGCAAATTAATCTCAACACAGATTTTAACCTAGCCTAACCTAAAATTAAAAATAAAACTTCAATATCAATTTTCTTAAATTTTTTTTTGTAAATTTGTAAATTCAATTTGGACTAAAATAAAACAATATACTTTTGTACAACAATTTTCATTTGATTTTCTCGTTGCGCCAAAATTGTAACGACCTGTAGAATCGAAATATCAACACTCCAGGGAAAAGTGTAGACTTCTGGTTGTGTTTCAAAGAAAAAACAAAAGTCCATAAACACACTATTACGATGTGAATATATTATATCTCGTTAAACGAGTCGTGTTCCTGGCATGTTCAATTAATGCTTTACCGGTAGAATCGTTCATTTGCCGTAGTACCGACTCTAATTCCTCTTTCTTCCTCTTAATTATACCGTTACGTGTAATCGCTCTCCTTAATTAACAGCACCCCGCCTTTTTTTCGTCCATTTCGGACCCAAACCCTCTTCTATCCTCGATAAATCTACGGACTTATCCCTTCAATCTACTTTTTTTCTTCTACGATCGGGAATAAATATTAGAGCCGATTAATTAAAGGATTATTAATGAACCGAACGTTTGATGCTCCTAATGCTGGAATTTTAATGAGGGAGGATTTACCCCTTTTTTATTCAAAATTTATTCTATTTTTATATAGAAGGTTACTGCATTAATTTTTGTAAAATTTTGTAAATTCATTTATTTTGTTTGTAATTTATTTTGAAAGAAAATTTGTTCAATAAAATTTAATTCATCAATGATTGGATTTTTGAATGATTGTGATAAAAAATTAGCAGAACAATTGTGTAATGAATCTTAAAGTTGTGATAAAAATTGTAAGAAAAAAATATCGTTCTCTGATAAAAAATTCAAGAAATTATTTATCGTCAAATAAATTCGATAGTGGAAAATAGAAAAGATCAAATTCATTTGATCAATGAAAATAAAACAAATAAAATAATTTTTCATTTGATCAGTGAAAATGAAACAAATAAAATAATTTTTCATTTGAATAATAAAAATGAAAGAAGTGAAATAATTTTTCATTTGATCAATGAAAATGAAAGAAGTGAAACAATTTTTCATTTGAATAATAAAAATGAAAGAAGTGAAATAATTTTTCATTTGATTAATAAAAATGAAAGAAGTGAAATAATTTTTCATTTGACCAACAAAAATAAAATAAAAACGAATGGAACGAAGAATAAAAGTTTAAAAATTGAAGTAAACAAAAGAAGAAAAGTTTTGGAAATACAAAAGAATAAATTTTTGCAAGTGAATACCATGAATAAGGAATAGGGTATTACAGATTCTTCCAGTCAATCGAATTTATTCAAACATCGACAGTACAGTGGTAATTATACCTTAAAACCCCTCGTTAGGATCGTGCAATTGCTCTAATAAATTTGCATATTTCTTGTCAAGAACACACGCGCCAACCAGAGCGTTAAATTATAGAGTAGTTTCTCTGATCCAATGAAAGGCAATTGGAAACTAGTGAAATTATTTAAATGTTTCTCGCTCACACGTACATAATACTGCCTCAACAATAATTTGTGGCGCTGGAAAAAAGATATTATCATCATAATTAGTAGATACCTTTTAATAGCCAATAATTGACTTACTACTAAAAATATCACTACTTTGTCACTTTCGGTATATAATTTATCATAATTAGTATGTAATAATCACTTCTGGTTACAACATATTGCATGCTTAAAAATAAATATTTTTTTCAGCGTTTTTAGAAAACGGTGGTATATTCTTATAGATTAACTGGACAGTTATTAATAAGTACATAATTTTACAAATTGATTTTCGTGGAATATTTTCTTAGGTTTTGGCTTATAAATAGATTTATAATGGTTAGGTCAGGTTAGGTTAGATTTTAAAATATTGTTTTGGAAGAGAGGGGAAATTATAAGTTTTCAAATTGCTATACTTTCAAATTCAAATTCCCAAATTCTAAATTCCCAAATTCCCCAAATTCTACATTCTCCAAATTTCCATCTCCCCAAATTCCAAATCTCCCAAATTTCCATCTCCCCAAATTCCAAATCCCCCAAAATTCCAAATTTCCCAAATTCCAACTCTACCCAAATTACAAATCTCCCAAATTTCCATCTCCCCAAATTCCAAATCCCCCAAATTCCAAATCTCCCAAATTCCAACTCTCCCAAATTTCCATCTCCCCAAATTCTAAATCTCCCAAATTCCAACTCTCCCAAATTTCCATCTCCCCAAATTCCAAAT